TTTCTGAACTACATTTGTTTGTTTTCCTGGTGTGTGTGTCTGTTTGTTATGTGAGGTTGTATTATCCAGTATAACAAGTTCATAGGGTATCATGTTATATGTACATATTGGAACAGAAACAGATATTTATGGTAAATTGAATCTCATTAGGGATTCAGTCTCAACAGGAATTGAAATGTAAGCAATATTCAGGATTAGTTATTTGACTGTGGATTATTGCAAATTTTGCAATTTATGTGGGACAAAATACATTCGATAAATGTAATGTTATGAGGGTTTTTTAAAAAAAAAAAGTCAATGCAAGAAAAACCAACCCACCATATTAGGAAGCAAGTAAATTATATTCCCAGCTTTTGGAAGGGAAGTAAATTTAAAGAAAACTAGATCTCTCAAATATTTATTTTATTCCGGTTTAGTAGAACTTTCTGCTTATATTCCTTTGGTCTCAGCTGCATGACAGCAGCCTTCGGGATGCTATTTGTGATATCAAATTACTGAATTTTATACCTAAAGGCATAAATTTAAATATACTGGTATTCACAGATGTGTTTAGTTAGCTGTTCTCCGAAAACACTTACCAGATGCTTCTGCTATTGCTGCAACTTGCCTGACATGTTTTCAAACACTGGTGACCTCTCTGTCTCATTTGTGGTTTAGATATAACGTTCTTGCCTGTTACTTTGTTTTGTTCATGTTCTTTTCTTTTTTCTTTTTTTTTCTTTTAATTATTTAGTTTTGGTTTGGGTGGCTGGTGAATTTTTTTTTTCTTTTCTTAATACATTAGTGTATGTGCTAGTTCCTGAACTCCATTTGAAAAGTTAATTGTAGGTTAGGGTAGTGGACGATTGCATTGCTTACTCTTCCTTGTACTCCACATAATTTCCCTGTTGTGTATTAGAGGGACCTGAAGGCTGCAGTAGTGACTGGAAACCCTTGAGAGCCATTTCAGCACCTCAAAATAACTGTGGGATGGAGCCATTCTGACAATACCTTTATTCCTCAGTCAGATCAGCTTCAAGAGATCGATTTCCCTTAGACAGGCTTTGCAACATCTTCAGCAGAATCTGGCCCTGAAATGCCAGATACATTATTTGAAGAGTATCCTGCATCCTTTTGCACAGAGAGGGCTCTAGGAGAGATCTTTTGCCCCTCTGTCTTCTTCCCACCTGATAGCTTAAGTCATTGCCACATTATTAAATCACAATGCCTATCTTTTGACAAATTTTTCCAGCTTAATTATTTCTTGCTATTTTTACCCTGACTATTTTTTGAAGAGTCACATGTCTATAATCCTTACGTGGAAGAAGTGCTCTTGTACTCTATGTATTGCTCTCTCCCTCCCTGCTGTCTGGGCTAAGCAAGGAAGTGTTTGATTCGTTGGTGTGGCACCTCTCCAGTCCCCACTGCTGAACTCTGAGACAAATAAGGAGACTATCTTGCTAAGAATTTAGAGTGAAGATCTTTTAAAGGTTTTAGACTTACCAAGAGGCTGCATTTTGAATTGACACAAGACTGAGGTAGCAAGCAGAAATGTCCAATGTTCTTCAACATGCAAAGAATTTATTTATGTATTCAGAAGACAAGCACTACACGGACTGATTCAAAATCTGTGATCACTGGTTTTAATTTAGTGCCCATATTTTGAACCTGTTACTTTTTGTGATGTACATGCAGCAATATCATTAAGAGGAAGAAGTTTCTGAGAAGTCAAGGAAAGAGAGGTGCTAACCGTAAGAAATGTTAAGTCCACAGTGGTTCCTCCCTAAGCTATGATCTTTTCAGCAGCTCTCAACAATAAAGTAAAACTAGATCAGAGACTAAATGTCAGCTTGTTTTTCTTAATTACAAAGGATGTAGCAAAGCACCACGTGTGACAAAAGATGCCTACTCTTGAGTTCTTGTCTTTCAGAATGTCTGATGCTTAATAATGTTTTCTCTGTGTGTGTGTGTCAGACTTGAAAAAAATTGATCCTAATTTAGTGAGAAGCTGTTCATATTTAATTTTTTTTCGTTAAAATGTTTGACAGAGTTTCCTTGGTGTCTTAATACATCTTGGTAGAACTTTTTGCAGACAAATACGACATTAATGATGGAGAGGGAGAAGTTTAGTAACTGACAAAAATTAGAATATTTAAGTTCTGGTGGTAGAATTTTTTGGTAAATTTAAGTACTAAATGCTGATCCAAAATGGTGCAAAGTTTTTAGAATTGTCCTTAAACATCACTGTCTCACCATGTTCTGCAATGCTATACAGACCTTTATTGATACTTATATTCATCAAAACATCAGTTGTTTTTCCCAGTTTTTTATATATTTCCCTGCCTATAGAACTGTGCAGTTCTATGGATCTTCAAGAATCATAAGAACTATTTGAAATTTACTAGATGAAGTCATTCATTGCAGTTCCACTTGGGTTCAGTTGCTTAAAGAATGGGAGAAGGTTTAAAAACTTCCACAAATATGAATGCATAGATATATAAATAGAGGAATGCATAGATATATAAATATTTACAATATATAAACCATCTTGTAAGACAAAGAGGAATATCAAAGAGGCTCCTGTAGTTATTCCATACAATGAACAAGCGAGTCAATTAAGAATAGATCCTCTGGCTCTGAGATTAAAGTCCGCTTTGATGCCAGCTTAGGAAACAGTGCCTCAAAAAATCGTAATTCATGATTTATATGTAATTTCAGAGAAGAAACCTAGACTTACTCTGTGAGGCTTTTATTAAACAGACTTGACACCTACCTGGATCCAGACCTTCTCAAAAATCTGACACAGCTACTGATCTCAGAGCCATAGCAAACCAAAAAATACAGACTCTAATTGTCAGGCATTAGAAACAATGCGAGTTATATTTTGAAAAGTGGAATTGTGATGTTATATGAGTAAGCCTCTTTCTTCCCATAATGCAATAACGTATTTGTTTTAGCTTTTTTAACAGAATTTCAGTTCTATACAAAAAATAGTATTTTTATACACTGCATAGAAAGATGAACCCATTGGGAAAAGAAGGGACAAGCAGGTTTCCATCCTGTTTGAAAGGAGTAGATGTTTTCCCAGTAGCACACTATTCTATACTAATATTAATAGTGTGATTCTACGTTAGGATGTGGTTGACTTGCGAGACACTGGTGATTTCCCTTTTATGAGCTGTAAATAAAGTTAAGGTTTCGTTTGCTGAATGAGGCAGGTCAAATCCAAGATATTCACTAGAGTGTGCTGCACTCCATACGATCCACTTATTTGACCTTTATCAAAATTGTTGAAATTCTAATTTCCTCAGACTTTTACTGCTTTACAAGAGCCTGCAGGTTTACAGCCTTCACCGCTTGCACGACTTTTTTTCTTTCTTATCAGAGAATCTCACCATCAGACAGGGGGCATGAAGAAGCCTCCCTCTTCCATAGTACATAATTTCAAATACCTTAAAGTCATCCTTTCATGATTGTCATTGAACAGTCTTCTCCAGTTTGTAAGCCCTCTGCATTTTAAATTGCTTTCTAGTACCTATTTTGGACACATGTTTGTGTAGGTTACATTATTTCAGCTTTCATCTGATTCTGAGAGGTGAAAGGTTCCATTAAATTTTTTTGTGCAAGATCATAGGAAAAATTCCATTACTTACTATGGGTAACGTAATTCTATTGCTACTGTTAATACATGCATTGCTAACATTGATGATCCCTGGCCTTCTAGTTTGTAATGCAGTGCTGCTGATGGAGCTGAAGTATGCCATTGATTTCTAAAACAATGATATTGATTATAGGCTTCTAGTGACCTGCCAGTGATCCTTAGCTACAGCTGACTAGGTGATGCCTGGGTGGGTATATTTGTTTCTTTTCAAAGAGACCCCAGAGAGTAAGTTTAAACATGCAGCCACTCATTTGTCGTCAGAGATTGCCCTTGGGAAGTCCCAGCAGACTCCTTTCCTTTATCTGTCCCTTGTCTCCAGTAACAGTGTCATGAACAGAAGTGAGGAGCTCTTTCATGATATAAGGAGTTGCTCCTTTTCGTCCCTGTATTCACAGTCAAAGCATACTTTCAGATACTTTCAGCTCTTCATTTTCTTTTGGAGTTACAGGTACACTTGCTTGCCAGAATGATCCTCTTCGTCATCTGTTTAGTCAGATATTTGTGCCTTTTTCTGCAGATCTCATACTTGCCACTAATTCTCCTGGCTTTTTAAATTTCTAGGTTGCTGTCACACTTTGGGATGGAATAACTGGAGGTGTTAAATGTATTTGCTAGTACCACCATTTGTTTGTCATAAGGGACTGACCTTGTTTGTGGGCTACAAAGTAGTAGTGTAGTAGCCAAGAGCCACTAAAGCCTCACAGGGTGCAGGATGGTATGACAGATTTGGCTGTATGTGTGGCTTTGAGACAGGAGATGTACTGAGTGAGTGTGGAGTTACATATGCAGGGATGGGCGGAGTAACATTGAATTAATATGGTTCATTTAAACCACCAAAGCTCCAAATATTTATGATGTAAACTTCAAATCTGTGACCTCACAGGTTAAATCTTGTATTGCATTTTACTGTATTATTATGAAAAAGTGAATGGGAAGTACTTGCAAATTGTTTTGCTGTTACTTATCTCTTGACTCTCCCCAAAACATTTTTCTCTGTATTCCAGGGTTTCTGTCTTTCCCTTCTCCAGTAGAAAGTATGGATGTGTGATTGTATGATCTAAATGGTTTATTATTCTTCACAGTTAATGCATTAAGTTGTTTCTTGAATCCTGCATTCATAGTAACTGTAACAAAGTTTTAAATAATGTATCTTCGTAGATGCAGTCACTAAGAATCTCTAAATTCTGCTTAGAATCTCTAAATTTAGTTCTGCTAAACATTGTGAAATAATATATTGAATGCTCTATGAAAGTATTTAAGATGGATGCCTGAGGTATGAGAATGACACAATGCAGTATTTACAAGCTAAGTTGTATTACTTATCAGTATTTCCAGTATTTCTTTTTTTTTTTTTTCATAGCCTTTCATGTCCCCTCGGTATCCTGGAGGTCCAAGGCCACCTTTAAGAATACCCAATCAGGTAAGAATTTATCACTGATGCACCATTGTGTTCCAGGGTGATGGTGCAGTGCTGGGAACAGGGAATGTTGTCTTGTTGTCTACCAATGGCTCATTGGCTACAAAACTCACTCAGTCCCTCTCCACCCCATTTTGTCTGACCGTTAAATAGTTATTTTTATAAAGTATGGCCGTGCCACTCCCAGCTCACTTTCCTGTGCTTAATTAGTGTTTACACCTCGGATTTATTGTGTATTAAGCCTCTCTACAGAGGGAGGGTATAGTCGCCTTGCATGGTGCTGCATTAACCTCAACCAGCCAATGCTGCCTGCTCTGAGAGGAAGGCAGAATGTCCCCATAGCTGTTACACTCTCTATCCTAACCACATCAAGCAGTTAGCTCTGAGAAATTCTTTACTTAATTCTCCATAAAATGCATCACTCGTATTATCTGTTGTATATATGAAGTATATTTATTTCACAGTAAATACAGTGAATATTGATAAGAAACAGATTATCAGAAAGTGTTCTATGACTTTTATAGACACTCTGAGGACTTTATAAAAGCATCAGATGCCCAGTTTTCTCTCATCTCCATCAAAGGGTATGCATGCCAGTGTAAGAAGAATGAGTAATGAGCTGCTGTTCGTCAGCAGAGACCTTTATTGGCCCATCTGTGAAAAGATGGTTCTGGAAGCAGATAGCATTTGTATTTTTAAGTTCTCTGTAGTGCAGATATAGGAGGAGAAATCGGTTGTCAACAGATGAAAAGTTAACAGATAAGCAGACAGAAAAATGTCAGTAGAACTCTGAAAGAAAAACTGGGTTATTTACAATATTGGGAAAGGTTGATAGGACAGATGGAATGGTTTTTTTTGGTGCAACTTAGGCTTCCAGGACTGCCTTTCTTCTTGTCACAGCTTGAGGAGGAGACTTTTCTGCTCCAGCCTCGGTTCTGGCTATTTTTTGTATCTATATAACACAATGTCAATAAACTTGTCTTGAGCATGGGCACAATATTGCCAGAAAGTTGAATTTTAAAATTTAGTGAGCTGGATATGTAAGGTCACAAGAGTTTTGAAATGTGGTGTTTAGGAGCAGGTTAGGTTACCTGTACCATAGCTAATTTCTTAAAAGGGAAATGTTATTAGCCTTGTTGAAGTGATCATCAAGGGACAACAAAGAGTGCAGCATCATTAGCATTTCGGTTAAATATTTGCTATAGACATACCATAACTCAGTATAAAATATCTTCCTGGTTTTTATACCTTTCAGTTCTATCTTAGCCAAAGATACACCAGTGTTTGGGTTTCACGTATTCCTTTGTTTTTCTTTCTATGTTTCTGAACAATGTAAATACTGGCAGGTAGAAACTGGATATGGTGAATGCTGTGAAAGCAATGCAGCCTGCAGTTTTAGTTTCAGAAGCATTTTTGTCTGCACATAGTGATATTTTTAGTTCAGAACTGTAACATGATCACATAATCTTAGTGAATTACAGCTTTTGCAATTCTTTTACATTCATGAATTAATACTTTTAACAACAGTGCCATTATTTAAGTTACAGTGTAGATGGGCAGTGAGTGGAAGTAATACACTATTGTAGTGCAGGTTTATGGATGAAGTTTTAATTAGATGGAAGTCAGTAAAAAACAGTTAAAATTCCCACTGTACACTCTATCCTTTAATGCTTTGCAATAGGGATCATGTTTTGTAGGTAAGGAAGGGTAACACAGGGCGTGTGTGCACAGCACAGTCTAGTGCTGTGTAAGGGTTATCTGAGCTAGATCTAGGCTTTCTAGCAAGGAACATTAGTACTGACTGAATGCCACAGCAGTGCTCCTAGTTGCCTCCAGTACTCGATCACGTCCTGTGAGATCAAGCCCTACAAGGGTGTTTGCTGTTGGCAATGCATTGTGCTGTGCAGGTACATTCGTTCTTCCTGAAAAGTGGTATGGTGTGTTAGAAAGGAGTCACAGTCCTTCATGTAATGATCCACAGAGTAATGACTGCATGAGTTAAGTCTTCGGTCACATGTGCTCACAGCAGTGAGTGTGTCCGTGTCCTTGTGTGTCATGTGCTGTCTCTGGCAGAAATGACCAGTTTCTGCTTTGCTAGTATTTGACACTTCTCCGTGCACTTCATGTCTGTTTCTTAATTTTCGGCCAGACTTCAAGCCACAGCAGTACATGTAAAACTCATATTTAAATGATGTCGTCTCAGATTTTTTGTTTATTGCATTAATAAGTGCAGTACCTTTTGATTGTATTACTTTTGAGATAATAACGTGCGTCTTAATTTTGAAATTTCCTACCTCTTGTGGAAACAGAGTGTATAGTATTTGCAGATAGGTTCCCATTTGTATGTATCTAAGTCTACTACAGTATTTCCTGGTCAAGAGTAACTTACCCATTCCCTCTGTAAACAATACCTATATTGCATGAGTAGATTAGTTTCATAATAACAGATTTACTCCTTCTGGACACATTTTTACTGAAAATGTGGTTATGTTTTGAAATGCTAAATAGCTCTCAGTGGATCAGCTACAAAGCTCCATTCATAAATACATTTTTCTAGTTGACTAAACTATAGATAAGAGACTGTAGGAATTAGCCTTAAACCTAATTCAGTTACTGTAAACCCAAAGGGCAGATTAAAATGTGGGGACATATAAGCAATATATTTGATCTGTAGGTGAAATAACAACACAATATGCCTTCATACTTAAAGGCAAGATTTAGGAGCATGTTTGTGACTGTTGTTATCTCCAGCAGATGAATAATAAGCTTATCTTGGCATTGATGCCCTTCAAGAGTAAGGCAGAGTGGAAGATAAAATATCGCCCACGTAACAGCCCTAATTAACTGTACCCTGTGAATACTATGCAGCTGGCTCAGTTATGGCTCACTCTCAGAGAGTATTGGTGTCTGCATCCTGACCTCTGAAAGGAAATGATAAAATAATGGTTAAAAGAGAAAACTGTAGCAATGTAAGCTTTGGATAAATTGTCATGTACCCAAGAAAAAGGCAATGCTTGGAGGTGAAATCATAGGTAAGCTAAAGAGAAGGAAGTATTGAAGGGGAGGAGCAAATTAGGCAATTATATTTTGTAGATTATTTATACATAATTCCACAGAGGTCCAAGAGTTTGTCCATGCAAATCCTTAGTCAGGGTCATAGGACATTCAGGACTTTTATTTTAGTTAGACACTTAGGAAAAACACCTGGGAATTAAAAACAAAATATCTACATTATGTCTTTAACATAAATTTCAAAGCATTATACGCTTTTAACATATGATTTCTGTGCCTGCAGGCACTTGGAGGTGTCCCAGGAAGTCAGCCATTATTGCCCAGCGGGATGGACCCAACACGGCAGCAAGGTGAATGAAATAATTATTTGCACCATTCAAATGTACTGTCTTCTCAAACTTGTGTCTGTCTTTCTGTTTTTCAAAGCTCGTTGCAACTTTTTAAGCTTTCTGGTTTTTAAGTTGCATAATTTTATTTGCAGGGCATCCAAACATGGGTGGGCCAATGCAGAGAATGACTCCTCCAAGAGGAATGGTTCCGTTAGGACCACAGGTACCTTCCACAGATAACTACCCATTTTTATTGATAGACCTATACTTATACTATATCACTCTGACTTTCCATAGCTTGAAGATGGCCAGGACTTGTCCTTCTAATCCTCTTTTAAAATAAACTTTCTGCTTTCAAAAGTTAATTCTGAGTTGCAGCTGTACAAAGTCTAAAAGGAAAACATCTGTCATTTTAATTAGAATTTGAAATAAAATGGGAATCCCTTAACTTGCTTATTTCAGAAAAGTTATGTTTGTCCTACAGCCAGTGTATGTTGTAATCAAAGGCTGACATTTGTAAACCAGACCAGGAATCGAGTAGGTGTTTTCTCATCCTCCCAACCTAATTGATTATGCTGTTTAGGAGGAAGGAATTAAAACTCCTAACTTAGGCAAACTCTTTGTACCAAAAAAACCCCCAAAGATTCTGTAAAGTTTTTCTTTCATCCACTGTTGCTCTAGATTGTTGGTGAGTGCTAGAGAGTTTAATGTAAAATGAAAGGTTGATGCTGCCTTTCTCTCCCTTGTCAATCATAAACATCTCTCTAGCTCTGTTTTCGAGGAGTGAAGCAGCCTTGGATTGCAAGAATCAACCTTCTCCATGGTGCTGACCTGGTCATAATGGTTCATAGGCTCTCTTCAAAAGCATGAAAATATGAGTCCGTATTACTTTTCAACAGTAAACTAAGGCAGAAAAGTAATCAATTCTGATGTATACCTGAAATATGAATCTAAAAGATTATTCAGTATCTTGTCAGTGAGAGAAAATTTATGTGTTGGTATTTCATACCAATGTTGCCAGTATTTTGTTTTACAGAGTGCTTGTTGTGCCCACATTTTGCATTTTTACTTCCCTATTTCAGATAATCCCTCTAATAACTTCTTTGTTCCTTGGAATGGCAATTGAATTTGAAATGATTAAATAGCTTTGCCTTTCAAATTTGCTTATAACTGTCTCTACAATTTTGGGTCTTCTAGGTAGAAACCAGTTGTGCAGTTCTACACCACATCTGCTGTGTGACCAACAAACGATTATTAAATACATTTGTTATTTTTTCTGTAGCATTGAAGTATATTTACCACTTGCCTTTTGGAGGTAGAAAGAGAAGCTTTGCAATGCTGCTATGTGAGATTGAGCTGATACTTTATGCAGCACCATTAGTCACACAGTGTGCAAATCTCATGCCAGTTTTTATAAGGATAATTTTTCCATTTTTGGTGTTTCTTAAAATCCACTGTTTTTGTAAGGTTCTTCTTTCTTGTACTGAACATCCTCTTAAAATGGGGAATAATGTACTTTATCTACACAAAATTTAAGTTCACAAATCAATCTAAAGGTTCATCATCTGTCTTTGTATCTGGCATTTAGGATCTTCTAAGAATGCAGTTCTAAAACCAAATTTGATTAATCTTTCACATCTACTTTTAAGGTCCTCTTGCTACAGGGCTGTAAAGGTGACTTAGCTGTGCCTGTAATAGAAGACCCTGCTACCTTTCTGCGCAGGCAGTCGACTTGCGAAACACTTAATGTGCTGACATAGAAATGCTTATGTCCAACATAGCACACATAAGCTTGAAAACTTACAGAAAATTTACCTCAGTTCTGTGGTTGATGATTTCAGACTGTTTCAAACTAAGGAACATGAAGCAAAAAGCAACATATGGTTGTAAATTCCTGAATTTGTGAAAAGCTCCAAAGAATGAGGTTTAGGCTTTTTTCAAGCCATAGTTATGCCAACTGAATGGGGTACTACCTCCAATCTGAGGCTAGCTACTTCTCCCAGTCCCTCATGTCTGCTGGTGAGATTCCTGCATGCTCCCTTAATGCTTTCTAGTCAAAAAGAATTGGGTCGTCTTAAATATGGAAGAAGTAAGTCTTGGTTAATCTGGCTCATTTTGGACACCTGATGCTAGGGAGCACTTTTATGAACAACTCAACTACCAGATAAACAGTAGTGGTGGTGACTTTGAGTAAAATGCTCTAAGGGACAAACTGGGGCACTAACTTCTGCAGAGACTGAAAGAACGTGCAGCCTTAATGAAAGCACTCTTATTTTAGTACGAAGGAGTACATTTGATTAGAATTAGCAGTAATTAGAGTTAGAAGTACATTTGATTAGGTTTATTCCAGTCCTGCAGGATTCCATAGAGATCTTTAACCCTGGTCCACACAAATGATTGCTGAATTGAAATAAAGAGGAGAGATACCAGACAGACCAAGTAGGGAGAATGCCTCAGCCCTCCACATCAAAATGGAAAAATGAAATAAATAGATACAAAACTGCTGTTTTGTTGCAGTCAGACTGTCTTCTCTTCCAGATCCACTAGTGCCAACTGGAGATGTTACTGTGCCCAACTGCTTTGACTGCTCACCAGTTACTGCCCTAAAATTCTGAGAGAGGAGTTGCTCAGGCAAAAGATCATCTAGGGTAACTCAGGTTAAATAGGAGGTTTGAGTTAATCTGGCTGGCTTTTGCCTAAGCATGCACACCAGTCGGTCTGCCAGCTGCACACGAAAAGGCAGGAATGAGTAGTGATTAATGACCAGCAGCTGTGGATAATGCTATGTTCAGATGGCACTGTTGGGTCTGGAAGAGGACATCTGTTTGCAGCCTCTGGTTATGTTCTTACAAACCAGCTATGTATGGGATACTTTCAGGAGTGTTAACAATGAAGAAAATTTCAAGTTTGGAGTTTTTTGTTTCCAGCAACAGAACCTCCTCTCGTAGTTATAAATCAGTTCTAGATAACTGATATGTCATACCACTAAATATATAAACAGCACCAAGCCCACACTTTGAATATCACTGTTGGATTTCTCCCATGCCTTCATGACTTCGTATTTACATGGTTTTGTGAATCAAACCAATATAGAGAACACCCATAAGCCATAGTTATATCGTGTATGTAGTATGTAGTATAGTGTACACGAAATAGAGTGTATTTGTTTTATTGCTGGAAAATAGATCACAACAGTGCCCTAAACTTTTTTAAAGCAGACCGCTTCTTTGTCCCCCGCTCCTTGCGAAACGCACAGCTGTTAATTTTAGAGAATTTATAATTATCCATTTTTCTGAAATATCAGAAGAATATAGCAGGATTTACACAGTTTAGGGAGTGTGTTATGATTGTAAGGTGAGATACACTGTTCTGCTTGTATTCCTCTGAATAGAAATTGGTATAATGTAGTTTTTTATGTAAATAGTGCAGTTAAACTTTTGTCATATTATCAGAGGACAAACTCAAATTTTATGAGAATTAGGCAATTAATTTGTTGACATCACTATGACATTCATTATCATATTAAATAATTTTCATATTAGTTACCATAGACTTTCTAGGACTGACTGATTCCAAGAGAAATGCAATGGTTATGCTTTATGTTATGAAAGTGATTTTATACAAGCATTTATTGATAGCCTAGCAAAATCTAATTAAATATCATTATATTTAAATTCCATGATGTAGTAATCTTAGAATCTAAGTCCAGGTTTCTGATTTTGAATGAGCTCCCTTGTTATGTAAGTTGAATACGTTATAAAACCTGCCCCTTTCTGGCCATTGACTTGACCTCTGTATGTGTAATTCCTCCTGAAACAATTGACATTTTAAGTATTCGTAGTCTATTTCTGTTATTTGTAATTCTTTGTCCTTGGGGTTAACAGTACTATTTTTTTGAGCCAACAATGGAAACTCCTGAAAGAATGAATTGCATTGGCCTATCCAGTCAGCAGTTATGTAGGGATATCATTAACCTGCTGTCCTTTCTTTCCCCCTCCTCTTTGGTTTTGTTTTTTTGTTTTGTGGTAGTCTGACCCTTGGTTATCATTGCAGAACTATGGAGGTGCAATGAGACCCCCACTGAATGCTTTAGGTGGCCCGGGGATGCCTGGAATGAACATGTAAGCACAATAATAACATCTTATAATATTTAGAAAAATCGTTATTTCGTTGTAGAAGTAACATTTGGGATACATCATACAAGGGAGAACATGCTTTGATAAGTAACATGCTTTGATGACTAATAACTGCGGTTTTAAAAAGTGAACCCACAGCAGTTTCCTTCTTCTGTATGCATCTTTGCTGTCCCTGCAAGTTTGTATAAAAACTCAGTTTCTTTCATAGGTCGAAGTTCAAATATTGGGAATATTTTGTCAGCATAGTCACTGATACATCCTTATATGCTTTTTTTTTTTTAAATTACATTATTTACATTTATGTTTTTACATTACTGATTAAATATTTTGTAAAGAATGGTACAAGTGTGGTTCTTTTCAGCAAAATGAAGAAGTACTTAATTTTAGCAAAATAAAACCGTTGTCTAGAACTATTTATAAAAAAAGACATATTTGAAAGAAGAAGCATGGATGATTCTCTGTTGCTGTTTTTATTTCATAACTACATTTATTTCCACTCTGAACAGATAGAAGAGTATTACAGATACGCATGTAAGATTTTCTGGGACTGGATCATTATTTAATAAAAATTTATATAGACTGAGTTCAGTTAGGCTGTACTGATTTATTCCAGGCATGGATTTAGTAATGGAAGTGTATTTCGCCTTTTATACCTGTAGATAACCCCCTTTTCTAAGTATGTAGAAAAATTTCAGATGTGAAGTGGCTGTATCCAGAGTACACTAGATTTAAGCTGAGGATTCCCAACATGAGGAATCTTCTGCACTTTAGATAAATCTTTTACTTGCTTGGAGTTGCTTATATGATTAGCAAGCCTGGAAGAAAGAAAGGTGCTCCTTGTATTATTTAGGTTTCTCTCTTAAGAGATTCACAAGTTGTAAGGGGCTGCTATAGTTACCTCTAGTGTAACGCAGAGAAGAGGTTATCAAGTTATTCTGGTATCTTGGCCCTACCTGTGCTGAAGTTAGTACATTTTTTCATAACCAGCGTTTTGCAGTCCCTGCGTGGTCACAGAAGGTGGCATGGTGGTCCAGTTGTCAAGACACTGGAATGATTTTACAACCTGGAGCAGAGAGCATTTTCTTTTCTTACTCCTTTTAAACTTTCGTCTTTCAAGAACAAGTTTTCAGCAGATCAACACAGATTACACAGTTGAGATTTATATACACTCGTTATCGTTATATTGTAAATACTCATTTTTACTCTGATTTTCATAGGAAACACAAACAAGAGATGATAATTTTCATTTCAAGTAGAGTTACCAACCTGAAAAAGCGAAAGAGGTATTCAGATAGATAATACCATTAAAATAAAAATCTAATCCACTATAACCTTAATTTCTTCTAATTTCCAGACATACCTTGAATTCTGGAGCAAATAAAATAAAATCAAAGTTGGGCATTACTCTATCATAGGCATCATATATTGAACTCAAGGCAATTCTAGGAACCTTCCCAAGGGTAGGAATTTATATTTTTTAATAAAATCAATGTAGAAAAAAGTATTTAGATATTTGAAATTCAGCATGAGTGTAATATAAGCACTACATAAGTTGCCCTTGGGAGGAGATGTAGTTATAAGGAAAGAAAGTTAACTTTCTGAAATAAAACATAGAATTAAAATTCATGATAGATAAGGTATTTTGAGGCTACTTATCCACACAAATGAGAGTTTACATAGGGGAAAAGAAGAAAACAGATTCCTGGATGACAAAAAGAATCCCTGGTCTGCCAGAAAGATAGAAGGTGATTATGGGTTGAAATACTAACATTTCCATATTGCAGCATTTAATAAGCACATTTCATATAGAGTTGAGCCAGTAAACATACATAGACCATGTTCTTTTAATGCAGTGATGTCGGAAGTACATTTTCCATTGAAGTTGTATGTCCTCTTGAAGGGGACACCATGAATTGGAGTCCTTTACTTGAAAATTCATGAACTTTGATACTTTGATTTTTTTTCTTATGTAAAGTTCCTGCTATCAAAGTTGTCTTTACACCAAAATCTTAGTGAAGACTCCTTGTCTGGTCAATTCCAGCATTCAGGATCAGTCAGATAAGGCATCCAAGGATAACCAGACAGACCCAGTTGTGTTAAATGCGTCCTTTGTATTATCCCTTAAAATTTATCTAGTGCTAAGAAATAATGGTGTAAGTCATTTAGTGTACTTATATTTCTAGGAAACAAGATAACTCTATATAAGTCTTACAGTAACATACATTTGTCTTTACATAGCCATATCTTTTTCTTACATTAAAATTTTCCAGTGTTCTATTCAGTGTATTGGGATTTTTGGCAATGTTAAAATATAAAGACATGCTCTCTGCAAAAACAGTTGCCATTTTAAAATCCAGCTTTTTCTCCTGGGAAAACTCAAAAGGAAACTGTTCTGGTTAAGAGCAGAACACTTGCCAAATTTAATTCTACATTTTTCTGGATGAGAAAGTGTTCTTTATTGTCAAAAATGGCAACAGCCAGCTTGAGAGCTCATAGACAGTACTTCAGTCCAGGAGCATGTAGTCCACAAATGTAGTACTGCTAAATAATTACTTGCTCTGTCATAACTAATGCCTATCAGATTACTGTTTTCACCAGCTGATACATATCCTGTGTTCTTCTTCAAAATAACTTTATTTTAGCTATAAGGTTGAAACTGTTTTAAGTAAGATTTTATTTCTTTGTGGAAAAATGCTCTCTCTGGAACAAAATGGCAAATTTCAGGGAGCAGTGTTACCTTTCACTGGCACCTCTTAATGGCCTCTGTGACCTGCAATGCTGTCTCAAGTGCTAAGAATATCTCAGTCATGCCTGAAAAGAAAAAAAAAAAAAAGTGATTTCATTTTTCAACTTTGATTCATAAACTTGTGTCTAGATGTTTAATTTCCTGATTGGATTTATTTGCCCCTTGGGAAACTGAAATTTTAGACTTCATTTTTTCAAGCACTAGGATCAACACTATGTGACTAACTTAAAGGAAGGGTAAAATCCAGCTGTAATTAGTCCTAGTGATAGATACTTCATAAATTACTCTATTTTGGAATTCATACACTAATAATAATGTTTTATGATTCTATCGATGCTTCCAAAGTACACATTCAATAAAAGGCAAAAAAAATTTTTGCATTGTGTTGTAAAAAGTTGCAGGTAGCTTTCTTTTAATGTGTGTTTTGTAAGTGAACAACATTCTGCTGCATATAAACCATATGGCTTTCCAGCAGAATTTGCTACAGTGTTTTCTAAGTCTATACTTAGAGCTGTCCATGGCTTCCAGTAAATTTGCCAATTCCAACAGCTTTTTAGATGAAAGGTGAGTTTCCCAGTCTCCTTTTAAGAACTATCTAAATTTCCATGCTGCTGTGGCTTAACCCAATCTTGTATTTGAGTCAGCTTTTTAATATCTCTGTAGCTCAGAGTAATCCACGGTGTCGTCACAGCTATTTTCCATTTGATGCTTTTTGCTAGGTATATTTGTGTTTCTAATTGTCACACATGCAGGGTTTTGGGGTGAAAACAAACTTCAGTGTTGTTACAAATATTCCTGATTTCTCTGAAAAGGAGAATCCAATAAACCAAATACGGTACATAGAAAAAAGAGAAACTTTTTTTTAAAAAAAAAAAAAAAATGGGAAAAAAAGAACACCTAATATTTCACCTTGTAATCATTAATAGAGGAGAAATTGCTGAATATTTGACCTGAGGAGCACGAGTACTGTGAGTCCTTTTACTTGGTTTGCCTCCTCTCCTCCCAAAGAGTAAAGCAGAAAAGACTCTCACCTACATTCCTGTTTTCCATCTTTCCAAAAATAATGTCAGCAGAAGTAAATCAGTTTTCACTTGATTTATTTTTGTTGATTGTTTGAGCTTATTTCTTTATAGTTTCATCAATGATGTAATTAAAAAAACAAGATACAATGTTAAATCCCTCAGGCAACATATCTACTTAAGAGTTTTTAGTTTTACAAGACTTCAAAATAGAAAACTTCCCGGACTCATTAATAAAGCCTGCTTTCTTCTCTATATTTAAATCACTCTCCCATGTCTGGTAAGCTATGGTGGCTAATGTTGCTTTTCTAAAGCTAATGAGGCCAAAATGCCATTTTACATGAGAAAGTTTTGTCATCTGCTCTGCTTTTCAGTTGTCAGGACCTTCAAAAACTGATTTAGTCTTATTTATAAATAACTAAGAGTCCTTAATGCTCCCAGGAATAATTATCGTTATTGAGATGTTCTAACTGTAAATATGGAGATTTTACCTCCCATATGGCTTAGTTCCCTCAAGACTTTTAAAAGATGAAGCCTAACCACCGAACTTTTTTCTGAGCTCAGCTAAGAGTGAGAAACTTAAAATAGCCACAAGAGGTGTGAGAAAAACGTGCTCTGTCTGGACAGTTTTTCCTTTTTCCCATTCCCTTCTGCTTTTAGTATCCGCCTGGTGTCTCCTCAAAGTTGGCTGTATCAAACAGGTCTTCTGCCTGTTAAAACACTCTTGTCCCTCCTGCTGAGGAGCTGCCACTTAGTCATACGTGCATCACTTGGGCCAACTGTAGTGAGAATGTCTGAAAAGTTTGAACTTTCCGTTTGCCTGATGTATGGTGAATTTCATGTTTCTGTGACTTCTGTGTAGATCCTGTAGCCTTAGTCAAGTAGCACACGATTTTTAGATACATGTCTAAACATATGTTTAAAGTGTATGTACAGAACGGCATGTTTTCAATTTTTGGTGATGATGATGGTGATGATGATGCTCCGATATATGCTATAGCAACATATTTTCAGTGGCTTGTTCTTCTAAAAAACAGTTTTCCCAAAACATTTAGAAGATACTAGCATTACTTTCACTAGTGAAACCTTACTGTACTTGAAATACTCTAGATCCATACTCAGTAAATGCATGTATCCTCAATTCTTCACGAAGGTACTTAATTATGTAAGCAAGAGTACTGTTTCTATGACTGAAATTACACCTACATTTAGTACCTTTCTGCCTTTGAATGTACTGTAAGTAGACTTACGTGGAATATGTGATAGTCCAAATATTTTTTAAAAGATTAAAAGAAGACAAGGAAAACGTTCCTCATGAGAACTTAAAGAATTTGGGAACTCGTTTTCTACTCTGTGCAAAACTTCTGTGCCACGTTGAAATGTTGCATCTATGCAACAGAGTTAAATTGTCCCTGAGCAGAAGGAAAGCACTTCAAGAGCAGCAAATTTGCAATGTCTTTCAAATTGTTCCATTGAGAATATAAAAAGGGAATTCCTAAATTTGCCAGTGTTTAGGACTGATGCAAAACAGAGTGTAGCCTCTGGCAGTGTGGCTACTAGGGGAGGACTCCTTATGGTGCCATTCTGACAGGTCCTGTCCTGAAGAGTACAGAAGTATCAGAATGAGTCAGGAATTGAAGAGTCTTAAATGTGAGTGGCAGGGTTGTGATAATAAATAATTTTTCTTTAATCTGTTCATAAACTGATTAAATTATGATGGTAGTGCAATGATGAGAATTTTACTATAGCATTATAACTTGGTGTAGTTATGGTTTATAATCACACTTTAATGTGAAAACAGCCATTTTCTTCCTTAATCTAGAAACAGATTATTTTGATTTGCTTCCTCAGAGCTGGTCGGAAGATGGAGATTGTTCTGTGTCTCATCTTTCATATTCTGTTTCAGGGGTCCTGGGGGTGGTAGACCTTGGCCAAACCCAACCAATGCCAATTCTGTAAGTAAATGTTTTAAATATATTTGACATCATCTTATACTTAGGGAAGTATTTCTCTTCAATACAGTGGAAATAAAATTCCACTTTGTTCAATGAATAGAATAATGCATGCTTTATATTTTTCCCTGCTAACCCTAAGCAGAGCAGCTACAGTGAGGGCACATCTGAACAGAGAGCTCATTGACCTGCAAATATCCAGCTGCGTTCATGATCACACAACAGCTCTGCATCTTTACATCAGTTACAGCACTTCCTTAACATGAAGTTTATCCTGGAGTGTATTTAAAATACAGAACACTGGAACAGGCTGCCCAGAGAGGTTGTGGAGTCTCCTTCTCTGGAGATGTTCAAAACCCGTCTGGACGCGTTCTTGTGTGATCTGTTCTAGGTGGCCCTGCTCAGGCAGGGGGATTGGACTAGATGATCCTTTGAAGTCCCTTCCAATCCCTAACATTCTGTGATTCTGTGATACATTTTAGCTTCCTTTAGCACAGGTAGGATGAGTTACATCAAAACTATCTGGCCAGCAAGCTCTACAGAAATCACAGCTTGTTAAGATACAGCATAATGTGTGTTCACGTATTTTACATAACAAAAGCACATTTGCTGCTCTTAACTAGGGTATACGGAATCAGAGAGCAATTACTTGCAAGACATCAGCCATTTTTATATACTTTTTGTAAAAATCTATTGAATTTCGTTGCAACAACTTCAAAATGAGGTAGTCTAGTAGCAGCTTGAAGGAAGATGAGGTCAGAGAGGCATCCCACATGAAAAACAGTGTCTGGTATTTCTTCAGAAAATACAAAGGTAAAGTTTTAATTTTCATTCACTAGTCATACCTCATCAGTATAAAAATGTGTCCCTTTTTAGCACTTGCAGTTGGATAAGATACGTCTGTATTAACAGACTAGCCTGGTTCTTTTTGTTGTTCTCAGTTTTGATTTTTTAATTTTACTGACAATTGGCGAAAAAATAAGAGCTGAAACTCTTCCTCAGTTTTCTTTAGTGTGTACGCAACTAAAATGGATGTTAGGATATTTTTCAACCGATAGTTGAAATATTTTCATTCTGTGATATTGAGAAGTCTAGTAATACATATATTTGTAAATCTACAATCATGTAAGATGCTTATGCTACAATTAAGTTTGTATTTTGTCAGTACAGTTGCTTCATTCTCACCCCATCCTCCTATAATAGCATTGGTCTGTACTCCTTTAGAAAGAATAATTGCAATGGCTATCATAAAGAAAACTGGATTATTGACAGGCAACTGGATTTCTCCAGATATCCTCTGTAACTAATAACCACAATTGAATTTGAAACTAAAATAGAACACCGTCCTTTTTTTTTAAAAAAAAAAAAATAATGCAAAGAAATGAAATTAGTGTCTTCTAGGGTGAAAGATATGAGAGTTGCTTTTCCTTTTATAGTCAAGATTCTAATTAAGATTAAGTATATTTAAGAACATACAAATTCAGTCCATGCTAGGGACGACTCTAAAGTCCTGTTAACTTAAATGCAAGTATGTGCTCCTTAAGGTTATAAACCTTAATAAAGCCTATTACCTTAATAATCTTATAGCTTAACCTTTTACTATAGACGGCAGATCTTTACAGGCTTTATTTGTGGCTCCTGCAATAAGAATGAGAAAGCTCTTGTAGTAGATGCAGGAACTGCGTTGGTACTAGACCTTGTGACTTAGTATCTTAAAAAAGTGATGCTGGCTGTTAAAAATGCATGCCTCACTTATTATGAAACAATGGAGAGCAGATGTCAGACCTCAGCCTACAGACATTTAAATGTGTGAATTATATTTTTCATATTAATTTCATTAGAGCGGCTACCAGGGCACAGTAATCTTAAATGGAAATATTTTTATTTCAAATATTGGGTATTAAATTTGGTTTGTGTCTATATTGCTAGTATTGGACTTGAACATACTTGCAACGACAAGCTGTTGAAAAGAAGAGGAGTTTGTTTTGACAACAATAACATTTTTCCGTAATCTTTAACTGTGTCTTTGAAGTAAATTAGACAAATAAGCGTTATACTACAGCAGTACATAAATGTATGTATGGACTCCATCTCACTGCATAAGAAATTACTGTTTTCTTTCTGTTGATATTACAGATACCTTATTCTTCAGCATCTCCTGGGAACTATGTAGTAAGTACACTTGTGTGTGTTTGCATATTAGAATGGATGTTTTATTTAGGCACAGAAATAGCTGTCCGGATGTTAAGACGACTTCTTGTGTATTGGTTGAGAACTGATTGGGAACTGAACATTCGATCTGCACTTAGTTTTTTTTCTGCCATATATGTCGCCATATGATTATGTTCATGACTAGAATCATTATCAGTCTGGTCAAAATTGCCCTGAGTGCTGGTTTATTTCAGCAAATATTCATATAACCAATACAATATTCAGCTTTCTTCGTAACACAATATTGTGGATGAATTTATTAACTTCTTCAGAAAAAAAAACCCAAACATTTGAAGATGTAGAACAAGCTTTTATCTCCCTGAAGGTATATACACATGGAGGTTTTGTATATCTTATAGCTAACATTTTAAGGGAAATTTTTGTTCTTATAACATTGTTTCTTCTGTCTGTACTTCACAATGAAATAGTTAAAACTTTGTAATAGGTCCAACATTGAGCTGTCCTTCAAAAGAACACAAAAGCTAACCCTCTCTCTGGAATTTACAAAAACACTTTAAGTAGGTCATTAAGAAACAGTGTCTATTGTCTTAAATCCAAGAATTCTGTGCCACCTTCCAAAATATCTCAGTGAATTATAGCAAATCTCAGCAATGTCCTTGTAAGAAAACAGTAACAACCAAACCTTTATATTCAGTGCCACTGAAAAAAATTTTCCTGCCTCGAACAGTATATCTGCTATTTTAAAATACAACAAAAGAGATGGAAATATAATGAGTCATATGGTAATGAAAATAATCATCTGTTGCTAGCAATCTGTGTATTTTTTATTATGGAAAGTCAATGTTTATTGACTTATATTGACACATTTTTATCAAACTGGAAGTTGATAGTTTTTCACGTTACTTAAAGATAGTGGATCTGCAAACATATTAAGAAAGAATTTACAGTTCTGTTCTTACGAAACAATTAGAATGTTTAGAATAAAACTATTTCAGAAATTCTTAACCTTAAAAAGCTTGTTTAACAACAAGAGCAGTTTGTGTGCAGCTCTTTGTTATAAACAGATTTGTAATGCAGAAATACCTGAAACTAGGCAAACAGATGTTCCTTGATGGTGTTTGTTTGTTTGTTTAAGTCTTTGGTTTATCAGTCTAGACAAGTGACAAGACTATACCCAGCATTATCCTGCCTTTCTAAATCCATTTGTCATTAATTTGAGAAGAAATTTTGTATGCGGATGTTAACTTTAAAAAATTGTAGGATATTATACAGACAGCATTAAGATGCCTGGATCATCGAGATACCAAGTCTGCCTAAAAAAGGAAGCTTTCTTTAGGTGATTAGGCTCTTCCATCCCCATAGGACACCCCTTTGTTTTGGGCTTAGCAAACGTTGGTTACTGTGCCATTGACCTCGAACAAAACAGAAATGCCAGCTGAAAAAACAATGGTAATGAAAGTAGGTTGAGGGAATTAAATATAATTGTCTTAGGCCCTGCTCCAAGTATTTCTTGTGTCTGACTCACAGCATGACACAGAGTTATTGACTAATGGATATTCTTGGGTCTGTATACCTACGTACATTAGAAGACTGTGCCAGAGCTTGCTGACCAATTACTTTGTCTTAATCTGTGATAAGCTGTTTCACTAGCTGATCAGAAAATGTGTGTGTTTTTACCAGAGTAACTCGTGACATTCATGATATTTTTTTTTCTTCATTTATACTGTGTTCATTTTTTCCTGTGGCGTTTTTTTCCTTTCATGGTAACTGACATTTCCTACTCTCTCTAGGGTCCTCCGGGAGGCGGAGGGCCACCAGGAACACCTATCATGCCTAGTCCTGCAGGTAATATACTCAAAAATAATAAAAGATCATTATAAGGGATTTTAGGAAGTACACAAATTATTTTTCAAACTTTGATTTTCTTAAAGAATCAGATAATGATAAATTATTGGGTTTATACTTTCTGTGTCAGTTTTTCTCCTGCACTTTCACTCTCTTGCCCTCCTATGTTGAGGAGATACAAAGCATTGTATCTCTGCAGTTCAGAGCAATTCGTTTCTCTGGCTTTTGAGCCCATCTTGTCTTGCACATATTCAGCAATAGCAAGTTAAGAAGGAAAGAAGACGCAGTCTTTATTTGGTTTTCCTAATGTTCTTTGGGAAAATTCCATCAGTTTGGAAATCAGGAGGTTTCTGAATCTGGTGCAACTTCCCTTGTCATATCCAACGGATAGACCTGACCAACATGTGGCTCTTGAGCAGTGTGCTGCATCCTGTGGCTATGTCATCTGACTGACAGCAGGATCATGCTGGACAGGTTTCTCGCCTCTGTCTTGCAGTGGAGGAGTAAGGCGCCAGAGGAGTCATCATCATGTCCTACCAGTGGTTTGTTCCCAGAACTTCAACTGCCTTGCTGTTTCCTCAAATAACATGGTCTGTATCTTGCAACTCAGACCACAGGGAGATTTTGGCCATGCAGTAGATTGTCCACATTCCTACTAAGGTGTGAGGAAACAAGGAGGAGGATGTGAGGATTCCAGGTGGCTGGCTAGCTTCTCAAGGCTTAAAGATGGTCAGCTAGACGTATTTCGCTCCATTGCTGTCCTGCAAAGATTCTGATATGAACGTGGAACTGCAGGATGTGGAGAATGCTGTCTTCCCCCATGGACATAATCAGAAATCTGCTAAAATGAAAGAAATTACATCTTGTGTAACTCAATAGCTGCTCCTTTTGGCCTATATCTGCCTTTGTAACTCACTTTCACCAGCTAAGGGGGACCTGTTCACCTCAGCAATGTTACAGTGTCTTCAGTCCTTATGTCCTACATGTTCTTGCTGTCCTCTACAGCACTAGGGGGTAGGGAAGTTTCCTAATAACTGGCCATGAAAACTTCTTGCACCAATGTGATATCTTCATTAAATACAATGCCAGGGCTTTAAAATAATGTGATCCAAGATAAAGTGAACAACTTCCTTGTTCATATCATTAGTGAAAAAGATAATTAGTGCGAGCTGGCATTTAAAAGTGAAGAGTCTTGTAACATAAAACGAACTTATGCACAGCCTACACTTTTAATATAGTCAGCACTGTAGTTAAGGCACGTTAGGCTGTGTGCAGCTTAAATAAAGCTTCTGCTGACAGTTGTTCCCATTTTCAGTTAGAGACTCAAAGATGTTTTGAAGCTCTGTTTTCCGAAGTGTGAAAACACTTACGAATTGGCCACCTGAGACTTGAAGGTATTTACTCGCCTCTGAGACAAACCAGCTCTGAGGGTTCCCATGGCCCAACTAGCCTGTATGTATTTCCACAGGAGCCAGCAGAACATGGGGAGAGGTAGAGATGTGTGTTGCAAAAGGATCTGGTGATTGAAGAACTTAGTGCCTACCTCATCAAACATTAAAAATAGCTTTTTATGTGCTAATTTTACTTTGATAACATAAGCCTAAAAGGTTTTTGTTCCCCCTCTTCAAGCAGCATATTTGAACGTTGTGGTGACACCTAGTGCTCTGCATATACTAGAATTATTTACTCACCAAGGTTAATTAATGCTTAGAAAACTGTCTCAGAAAGATTAAGGAATAGACAAAGATCTTGATTTTAACTGCCCAGTGTATATACAAGTACTTTCTTGCAGGAGGTCAGACTACATTCGCAGTTCCAATGCATTTCAGGCTGGTCTTGGCTTTCTCGCTTTCACTACTTCTGACTCAAAAGTCCCCCATCACCTTGTCTTGGAAAAGGAATTACAGCTCAGCAATGGCTTTTGCATGTGTTGTTAATCTTAAAATTCTGGTTCAAAGAGGTGGAATGGTCTTTTGTAGAAGCTAGGTACAGAGTACTAAGCTATTCTTTATTCTTTTTGCAGATACTATAGAGGTACTGATTTTCCAGAGCTGACAATATTTTTTTAAATCATGTTGTCCCCTTAGGGATGTATTTAGACTTTCCTTAAGTCATTCTTCTCTCAGTAAACTTTTTCATTCCATGGCTGATGTCTTCTCAAGTTCCCTTGGGAAAGGTTTTTGCCCAATTTGTTTACTATCTGCTGCATTATTTGCTTTCTGTTTCTTGCAAATATCGATGAAGGGTGTCAAGACTTCATATGTGTTAGCAGTGAGGATAACTTGGAGATCAGAATGAGTAATTTGTATCTACTAATGGTTCTTAGGCATTGATATCTTAAGTTCAGCCAGAAGAGTTATGTGGGTTGTCTTCTATACATCTTGTTCATTAAATCCTGCATTTCATCTCTGGAGGTGCTCCACCTGAAAGTTCAAGTGCATTGATGGGAGGAAGAGGGCTGAGATGCAATATAGCTGTGTCAACGTCCGGCAAGGCCAAGTGAAACTCTTGGCAGAACTTACTGGCCTAGGCACCACGCTGTCCCAGGGTGGTTCTGTTCGTTTTGGACTTGGGGATTTTTTCAAGCATTGCACCACACTGGGTCATGAAGATACATCAGTTAAAGCTGTCCTTCGAACAAGGGTCTTTGCACAGTTTTCCACTGAATAGTTAGATATATCCAAAATCAAAGACTGACGTGAATGAAAACAAAAAAATTTAATTCGCTATACTAACTTGCAGTCTGTATAATGAGAAGCTATTTATCATTTATTACAGATGGAAAACAAATCACAGGAAGTATTGATAAGAAACTCCTGTTTTATACAGAGTATTGAAGATGAGTGAAGTAAATTGGAACTCCAGGAAAACGGGTTTATGGAATTAAATAGTTACAGATACTTGGTGATTTACAAACCTTTTAACAGTCATGCATAAAACCAGAGTCTAGAAGTAGTCACTTAGGGACCGTGGCAATTATTTCTTTTCATAGCTCTGTTGTGTGATAGCAATAGATAGAAAGGGAATTAAATTTTCCATTATATTGCCACTGTGTATCAGTGAGTCAGGCACAGAAATAATATGAACAAAATGACAGGAAATGTATTAGGTGAGTAGTTTTATTGAAAGGTATATATTAGCACTTAAAATAATCTCTTATTACAGATTCAACCAACTCTGGAGACAACATGTACACTTTAATGAATGCAGTACCACCCGGACCCAACAGACCTAATGTAAATATGAATCTAGTTGTATACTTCTTTGAGTTATACAGCCTTTTTTTATCCAAACACTGCATTTCCATCACATATCATTAATACTAAGTTTTCCATTTTTGTGGGTGACACTTCAGTTGCTTCTCCCCTACCATGTACTTTTTAATCGTTTCACAAATCAATCATGCCAATACATGCCAAATAATGATTGGGGCATATTTTTCTACATGGAAGAGGCCTTAGAAGCTTGTGCATGAGGATCTTGGGGACAGCCTGGTTTGTCACACTGCAGTGTGATAGACTTCTGTGTGATCGGACTTCGTCCTAGGAGCTGCCACTAAGCATTAGTTTCTGCAGGATTCAAACTTCTGTTGTAAAAAAAATATCTACCTCTGAAAAGGGAGCATAAAATTGCTGAAAGTGACCCAGTATTATATTGCCCTGCCATTCTGTACAAAAAGTTAAAATTGATGCCTTTGAGAAAAAACAAACTTCTCTGCTTATCTAAATGGGATGTTAAGAATGAAACCTATTGATAAGATTAAGTACTTGCCTAAAGAACTAGTTAACTAGTGACTATTTTAGCCTAAATTTAAGCAGTTCCAGAACTGACAAAAATCTGGATTCATCCAACTTGTTTCTTCTCTGATCTTTCTCTATGCCTTCAGTTTTATTGTATTTCTCTGATTACAACCATATTTTATTATAGACCTTTTGAAAATAAAGGCCAGTAGTGCTTAAAAATATAGATATGTAGATACTACTAAATCATTATGCAGTGAATTTTAAAAATTTTTCTATAATGTTAATGCCTTCAAGTTTTTGAGAACTGAATTTAAGGTAAATATCTGAAATTGGACAGAAACTGCTCATGGTCCAGAGGTAGTACAGAGTAATCTGATTGTCAGTATGGATAGGGTGGGGTTTGAAAGCTGTTAATTAATCACTCATTAAAGAGAATTGTAAGATTCCCTGTACCTTCAATGGGAGTAGCGCCAGGTCAGGACTAGCAGGTTTGAAAGTCTGACACAAAGTGTTGAAGTAAATAATGAATTATTCCTAAGTTGTTTTTGAGCCTACAGAGGTAAGAGTCTCCAAAAATCGTGAAAGTAGTGTTGGAAAAAGTGAACAAAAGCAATGGTGTTTTTGCAGTTTTCACATGGAGGACTTTCACTAGACTTATTACATTCAGAGCTGGGACTGTGCATTATTTTCTATTTATTAGATTATCTACAAAAAATTGTACAGTAATACCAGTTTTTAATGTCTGATCCTTTTGTAGTTTCCAATGGGGCCAGGGTCAGATGGACCTATGAGTGGACTGGGTGGAATGGATTCACATCATATGAATGGATCATTAGGTAATGATAGTAAATATCACAAACATTGTGAATTTTCAATGACTAGTGCCATTTTCTATGACTAGTTCACTGAGTTGTGTGAAAGACAGTGTGTAAAAATCTTTTAAAAACTGAAAAAGCTATATATACATCAAGAAGAAGTATTAAGATACTTTTTAAGCATATGAGTTGGCATACATAGTGCATCTCTGGAATGAAAATACTGTATTTTATTTCTGAGGGTATAGTTTTTATCCAGTTGATAGAAATCACTCTAAAAGCATACCGTCACAGTAATGTAGAAGTGAAGGTTTAAGAACCATTTTGATTTACCTCAATTCCTCTTTCAAAATCTTGGGAAGGTGTCACTGTGACATGCTGGTACATGTTCTTATCAGTTACCTGGAAGTAAGTTGTTACATATATTGATGTATGTGTTAAACGGTTTTTATCCTAGTATTTTTATATCCTCATTTGTTCTATAATTAGCTATATGTCTGTCAGGTATGAGTATTACTACTCTGTCCCCATTAGCAGCTTCAGACAAGTGTCAATTTTAATTCACCCAAAAGAACATGAATTCTTGTCAAAGCATGTAGAGGCAGGAGGAGAGTGTTCTGTGTGACTTTTGACACGGTGATTTCTGAAGGACTCATATCTAGGGGAGAAGCCTTGCACAACTCTGCAAAACACATGCTGCTTTATCTCCTGACTATCCTAGCAAACTCTGCTCTTGCTCTTTGCTGGAAGCATGATAGACACTTGAAGGGGATTTAAGAAACAAGCCACAGCTAGATAAATTGCATTTATGCCTTCTTCTTCCATACCCACAAGGTCAGTAAATACCTTGGTTTTATTTCTGCTCATACCCTAACACCAGGCAAGTAGCTCTGGATACAGTTCTTGTGTTGTACTGTTCACTTCTGTCTGCACCAAGGACTGTTGTTCATGCAGGCAAGAACAGGGGGGAACTTTGAGCTGCAAAGACTTGAGATCTCTTTCTTCTTCTATCCCCTTAGTCCACCAGCAAAGGTTCTCTTTTACATCTGGAGCTGGCCAGATGCACCCAAGGGGCACCAGCAACACCCTGCTGAGCAGTGTTTTCCTTTGTGGGGAGAAACCCAAGCAATCTAGATACAGGTCAGGCAGGCAGAAGATAAGCTGCCAGTGTTCTCTTTGCTTCTATCCCCAAAGAAAAGCTCTCTCACCTTCCCAGCACAGGCACGGACCAACCTAAACTCCACACCGTTTAAGTCCATACTACCATGATGGATAGAGATCTATTACTCATATCTCAAAAGTTGGAGGTTGTGAGACAGGAAGCATAAACATGTAAGATGAAGGGCGAAATTTGAGGAGTCTATGACAAGATGAAAAAACTAAGCCATCAAGCCTCATTTAGCAGACTTGTTCTGAACGATTAAAATTCAGCAGTAGCCATCTATCTCCTAATGGAATTATCTTTTTTTTTCTAGGAAAGCATGTCCCTCAAATTCCTAGATTACTTTACATAAAGACACCTTATGATTTTACAGCCTTTCTTTACATACTACAATCCTAAAACGGATTGTTGCTTTAATTAATAATGACGCAGATTACATTCAAGTAAATGAAAAACTGTGTGAAAGGTAATCACATCTTTTGCTGTCACTTTTTATAACCTGAGAATTATTTCTTAGCTAAAAGAAAAAAATTAAATTGAAACAGTTGTGGAAGGATTTTATGCGTACCTAGGATTTGGTTAGTTATTTTCTCTAGTGAAAGTGATGAAGTGCTTAGTCAAATTAATGATGACTGCTTTCTAGGGTTAACTTCATATCTAAACTAGAACCTGAGTTCTTTAAGGAGAGGAGGGCTGGGAGAGATCTGCTATATTCATTTCCATGCTGCAGTAGGCAGTTGTATCTCATAATCAGACAAATAAATTGGTCAAGGTTCATCTTGAACTTCTCCAACTTCTTTGACCACTACCCTTCTGTTGAATATCTGTTCATAGCTCTGATGGTTAGAGAGAAATCTTTTTTCCTGATTCCCACCAAAGTTTATGACAAAATAACTCTTCGTACCAATTATGTATCTGAAGTATTTATAGAGAGAAATCATATTCCTTCTCAGCCTTAATTTGCCTGGCTAAGTATAGTAAGCTATTTCAGTCTCCTCCCACCACTCCATTTTCTTGATTGTTTTTCTCTGATACTCGTCCAGTTTTGTATTCACTGCTCTTCTAGAATTTGTCTTTCCTGAAAATAGGTAACGAGAATTGTTTACTATGTGTTGCTGATAAAATTGTTTTTCTTGATACATCCATCCTAAGGTGATATTTCCTTTGTTCTTGGCTTTACCTGAGTGAGAGCTACAGCATGTGAAAAAAATTCATTTCAATAGGCTTGCATTCATTGTATTTAGTTTTACTTGGTTTCTGTTATTCTGGTCCTCAGGATCATATGCTTTCTTCTGAAAGGTACTGGTCATCATCAGTGTTTGTAATGCATGAAAAGCTGATGTCATTTCAGCTGATCTTAGTAGTAGATTTCTGCTTCTGGGAGCAAAGACATTGATGAAAGACCCCCAGCTGACCTTAGTGATAATAGTGGTCTTTTTTTTCCCCAGGAACATTGAGTTTTACTAGATAGCCATGATTTTGCTTTTTTTTCCCTCAAGCTGAAGCACCATTTTCCATAGGTGAATATACCCCAAATTAATTGCGTTACCTGTACCTTACCATGGCTAAGAGGACAGAGAGGTTGGACATATGGTTTCTGGAGTTGTGCTGGGCTGTCTCATCCTGAAAGGATGCCATCCAAATAACCAATACAGATCAGAATTGTGTCCTTCATTCTTTTCTCACTTTTTGCTTTGGGTGTGTACACAGAGAAAGGACTAGCATTATTCGATACTGGCTGTGAACTTTTACTGAGAGAGACACTGAGAAGGAAGTGAGATGATGCATGGTTGGTTATGTCCTTAAAATATTGCTGTTACACTATATATATTTACTATGAAAAAAAATCTTGGAGTAACTTTAGCTCAAAACTAACTGAATAATTGTCTATTTTAATTTAAGGCTCAGGAGACATGGACAGTATTTCCAAAGTGAGTATTGAGTAAAATACTTGGAATTTTTAGAATGTTTCATTCTAAACATGTTTTCTTTATCTCTCTTACAAAGCATTTTGTTATGTATCTATATTGTATTTTCTGCTTGTCAACTCTTTGCAGGCTATTTGCAGACAGATTTAGTATTAATTGAAAATTTAAAAACAATATTATTGATAGAGAGTATAAGTAGACTTATTCCCCACTGCATAATAATGTGTATTAATGAATGTGATTAATTATATATGGTTCATAATCTGATTGATCATATTATAATCTTCCATACTGTTAAGACAAATTAATATAGTTCTAGTAATCAATTCTAGTTGAACATAAATTTGTGAAAATGTCGTTAGGATGTTACATTTATGCACTGCATGATTGCTTTGGTCACCTCTGTAAGGCAATGTTAATCATTAGTATATGTTCCTGAAAGCTAGATTAAGAAGTAGTTTCAGAAGAAGCACAATTTTGATATCACAACCATTAAATAGTTGGAAATGAATGTGAGTTTAATCTGCGGGGATTTTGCATCTACAAAAATAATATAGTGGTTGAATGTATCATTTCTTTCATAAAAATAAAACTACTACGTATGTGATCAGCATTAATTTCAGAATTAATGAGCTTATCTGATATTGATAAAGTGGCATAAATCTGTCCCCTGCACAACACTGTGTTTTGTACTCAGCATCTTCAGATGTAACTGAATTTATCGATTGCTTCAGTTTAAATTTTATAACTTACTTGTTTGTAGCAAAATTCTTAACATTCTTCCAAGAAAGGAGTATGAGTTTGTTTTGAGCATATCAACTGCTGGTGAATTTTGGTTGCCCCAGGACTGAGTACCACGGTGCTGTGCCTAGATCTCTCCCAGTGCAGACTTTGCCATTTCAGATCTCTCTAAGGCTGGTCTGCATGTGCTCTGGTCACACTAGGGACCTTGCTGTAGGTCTGTTCTCAGAAGCTATGGTGAGATACCAACGCATAGGGAGCAAAACGCTCACCTAAATTCCCATGGGTTAACGCAAAATTTCTTGGTGTGAATTGTTGAGAATACACTTCCAGGTGTTCAAAAGGCAGGAATCATTCTTCATTTAGCGATACATATGTGTATATCCAAAGAGAAGGAAGAGGACCCAGTACAGTTCCCCAGTTTGTGCTCTTCTGGTGGTGTGATATGGTAGCCTGTAAAGTGCGCTTAGCATGTATCTTTCCTGGAGAGAAGGACCTCAGCAATATGTGTCTGAGGCCATTGCTGCTCCTGTGAGGGCACAGCATCTATAGCAGTCCTATATTTTTGTCCATTTTTAAGATCTATAACATTTTCATGCTCTGCAAAGAGTAAAATGATGGATCGAAATGACCATGTTGCCTTGGTTGTGCTGTGCTTAGATGTGCAGTGATGGATTCGGTAGAAGCCTCCAATAAGATAATAAGCATACAGCGCTTTTTAAATCAATGTCCATATTTTTTCTGCAGTATTTTTATTGCTAACTGCAGCATTTTTTAAGGAAAAAGCCCCAAACATTTCCATTAGCTTGCAGTAGGATTGTTTTTGAAAGCCTGTATGCAACTCACTGGTATTAAGTATCAGTATATGTGCTAATACAAGCGTCAGGAACTCTGAAAACTTAAATCCAAAAATTTACCTGGAAGTGTTGTAATTTGTTACCCTTCATAAATAACTCATGGAAATCACATTTGATGCATGTCTTTTTCAAACAACTAAAAGAAAAGTGCTGCCAACTTTGAAAGTAAGAGAGTGTCCTGTTACACCGTAGTATCTTCTTCCGAGTAGCACTGCCCAATATGCAGCCTGCATTGACAGCAGTAAACGTGTGTGGGTATCATTGGTAGTTTCGGGTAGGTAGTAGTGCATAATGCTTTTGAAACTTTAATGGGAAAGTTCCGTTTCTAAGGAATGGCAGATTCCTGGGGTTGGTGCACACAGAATTGTTATGCGGCTGCCTTCCAGTTTTGTACGCAGTTACCAGGATTGTTCTTGCTGAAGCAAGAGTCTCCCTGCATACATGACCAGCTAGTCTTGCAGTTGGCTTTTTCACACGTAGATTTCCAGTGCTGGAAGTTGTTCACTGAAGTTAACACAGTTTGAGGTGTGCGATGCTCAAGTCCAGGCACAGGACTTCAGTGGAGTAAAATGTATTATTAGAGCAGCTGATTGTTAATTCCCAGGAGACGCAGAAAATTAATCCAGTCTTGGTAGAATCAGTACTGCTCACAGAATTCAGAACTACATTTTCTAGAGAAGATTTTAATTTAATTGACTGAATGGCAAAACATGCAGTTTTTATGAAGTAGGTCGAGATGGTGGAAGTAAATGAACTGAAATTATGCATATTAAACAAACATTAATAACCAGTGTTTCTTGCAGTGCCCATGGAATTTGTACAGGCATCAAAGACATAATTCCTTTGGAAAAACTCAGCAAGTGCTACAATGCTAGACCCCATACTGGCCATAAAAGCAGCCCAGGGGAGTTGCTATAAAAGTGTTTATTTTATCTCAGGAATTTGAACCTTTGGGGCTGGTGTACTGTAGCAATTGCAGAATTTCAAGGCTTCGCACTACACAGAGCAAGATAAAGTAGGGGTAAATCCCCCAGGAATGAACAAAAGTGCAGGAGCATCACATGAAATAAATGTTGGAAGGCCTTAGTGGGTTTTAAACTTTATATTCATAGATTTTAATGCTAGAAGGGACTGATACAATTGTGTCGTGTGACCTCCTGCATAACACAGGCAACAGGACTTCCCTGAATTAGTTCCTGCTTAAGTTACAGTAGCTGTGGTTGAACTAAAGCAGTAGTTTTCAACCTTTTTCAAGCTGTAGGTCCCTAACTTCACTGAATAACAAGCTTAATTGTCTAATGTCAGTCAACTAGTTAGGCTTTTAGTTGTGCAGTGATGCCTGGAGATCTAGGGATCACAGTTTCAGAAACAGTGAACTAGACTGAAGAAAGCACAAGGGCTAAGGCAGGGGTTTTAACCCAACTCTGTAAGCTGCGTTTCAGATGCTAACAATAAAGTTATGCTTGCAGGTCACTTACGTAATTAATTTTACATTTAGTCTATTACTGAAAACAAATACACCAAGCTGAACCCCTTTACATACTTGGCCATTCAGATTGAGAATGGTGATCTTCCCTCAAAGGAATATGGTGAAAACTTAACAGCAGCCTTTCACTAACCATTCAAAATATGTTACAAAGTGGACTGCATGTACAGCATTTAGGTGGGCCAGTCTGCTAAAGTAGTAGCAAAGAGTAACTGATTTAATTTGTGGTGTTTGGTGAAGCTGAGAACACCACTTTTTATTAGACTTGGAGGTGATGTAAATCTGTGGAACAGTGGAATATGTTGCGATATTTAAATTATGGACAGTGGTCAGCATGGGACTTCATTAACACAAAGAGGAGTATGCAGAAATATGATATGAAGGGGAAGTAGAAGTCATAGCTATCCCATCCCATTTTCTGTTCAGTGAACACTGCAGTGTACATCTGTAAAGTGCCAAGGTAGGATAGATAGCCTCTGTAGTTCTGAGGAAAGTGCCAAGAAATTAAGGGGACTTAGTCTTTTTTAAATGTTTCTAATTTTTCGTTTAATGTTTGACCTATTGCAGATTTAGTTATACTAAATAAAGACTGTATGCAGGTATTTTCAAAGTCCAAAATACCTGGGTTTTTGAAAGAAAAAATCTCTATGGTAACAGACATACTGTGCCAGGATTGTAATTGAGAATAACGTAAGAAAAAGAGGACAAATTCACTTAGGATTCTTACAGCTGTTACGATTTGGTCACTTGGATCAAGATCACTACTTGGAGTTGCATTTTGTTAGCTTTCCCATTGGATGCACTAACTTTATGTTAAGTTTATTGTGACATACCACGTTTGCATTTCTATAAATAAAATCTCAATAGCAATACTGCATTCAGTTTTTCCAGATTAAAAAAAAAGAAAAAAAAATCAAAGGAAGAACTGTGATAGATATAAATGCTTCATAATGAAGTTCATTACTTCAATCCCCCCTTTTCCTGACTGCTCCTTTTTCGTCACAAAACGTCTGTAAGTAGGAGTCTTAACAGTGATGGAAAGAGAATTGCCCATGCTCCAGGCATGGTAGGGTACCGCAAATCAACTTTGTAAAAAACACCTAACTCTTTATAGTGTCTATAATAATCATGTATTAGCTATTGACTCAGAATAATTTCTGTGACAATTGCCTTTTTTCACCCTTTCTTTGAGTAACTGAGTCTTGAAAGCATTTTCTGAATGTTGCAGGGTGATTGTGCACTTCTGTAAAAAAAAAGGAATTTTTCTTTAGAAGTTTTCATATTGTTATTTCATTATTGCATTTCAGTTATGTCTAGACTCTGAAAAGGTAGATTAAAATGCTGTTGCATTATGCTCTGTGCAAGAAAATAGCAAAAGTACGGTTCTTCCTATTTGTGAGCCCGGTCCAGTGGTCAGCGGTTACTCAGGAGTCTTTTATCTAAAACTCTTGTTAACAATTTTACCTGTAAGTGCTGTGTATTAGCTGTGCTCGGAGAAGTACTTTAGCAATTGAACCACATTTGTGAACTACTTGTGAAACTGTATTTCAAGAAACTGAGCACTCTGAACAAAGACCCCTGGCACAGGCCTTTGCAGAGGTCTATGTAGATAAGATTCATCCATATGTCTACCCTTAAGTACATATTCATGTCACAAATGTCAAGGCACACGCTTATAAACTTCAATGAATTTGACCACATGATTTAATGTAGTGACAGAGCTACCTCGTAAAAAATGGCTGCAGCCATTTATAGCTTTTCCTGGCTTCATTAGAAGATGCTGGCTATAACCTGAAAACAAGAATTACAGGTAAATAATTCTTGCTTCAGGGAAGAAAACATTACTTTACAGGCTAAAATTAATGTCTGAATCATGCAAAACCCTGCAGAGGCTTATTTTTTGTCTTTGAAAATCCCAGTGCATTGCACAGTGCATGTTAGTGCTCTATAGTCTCGTGTAAAGTGTGCCTTTGGCACATTTGGTGAAGCTGCGAAATGAACTGAAATCTTCAACACTTAATCTGTGCTTTAAAATCTTATTTAACAGAACTCTCCCAGTAATATGAGCATGAGTAATCAGCCTGGCACTCCCAGGGATGACGGTGAGATGGGTGGAAACTTCCTAAACCCTTTTCAGAGTGAGAGCGTAAGTATTTCTTTGCCTAGTTCGTTGGTTTTTTTTTTTTACCTTTGTGAACCTCTATCTCTGCCATTTTGTTGGAAAAAAAAAAAAAGAAACAGGAAGAACCAAGAGTTTTGTAGTGTACTTGTAATGCAGTGCTGTGCCTTACGTGTTTTTTACTGGCCTCTGAGATTATAGTATTGGTTTGACAAAAAATTGTGCAAAAGACTGCTAGAAGTTGAGCTGAAACTGGAAAATGTGGGAGCTGTAGATTTACTGCAGAAACACTTTTTCTAGATTAAGAGGTCAGTTGTCAACGAAAGTTAGATCTGTCAAGTAGTAATAATTACGCCGCACATATTCAGTAGTGCACAACAGGCATTTGTCAGGCAATATCCAAGAAGCCTAAATACTCGCAGTTGACGGATCCTTACATCTGAGTGTTTTAATGTGTGGTTGCACAACCTTTGACTCCTGGACAATGTGTTTTAAGGGGACTGTCTTTTAGAACAGGATTTACACTGAAATGTATGATGAGAGCACCAGCAGATCTCGTTTTGCGAAGATGCAGTGTGCTATTAGAGTCAGAAAAAGCAAAGGTTCCCTCTAGTGTTCATTCTGGGACAAATGATGCTTTTTTAAAATGGAGAATGCTTGAGGCAGCAAAACGTGGTGCAAAACACATTACAAAGCAAGATGACAGTATTTTCATACTCATGTGCCTGAAGCTGGGTTTCCAAATACACATTTAGGTTCCTAAATAGGAGTGTCCTGATTTTTCAGAAGTGCTGAGTGACTTCAGCACTTCTGTTCTTATTGGAAATCACTGCTGCCAGAAGTGAGTGCAACTTCATTAACTATGCCAGTGGTGAACTCCAGCTCAGAAACTGTGACGAGTAAACAGTTTCTGTTAGATCACAAAACAGTCAAATTGCATGGCAAGTTTCATGGGAAGCAGATTTTGAGGGTTTGGGGTTTTGCTTCTTTAGTGAAAAGGAAGAGTTTCTGCATGTTAGCTGTTCTTCATAAAGAGGACATGTGTTCAGATTGTGTGGGGTATTGGAGAAAATTGGTTTGTATAACCCAAACCCACAATGTTTTAATATTTGCCAAAAAAAACCCGCCAGTAACCACAGAACCTCCATCAAATGTGATCCTTGGTCATGGTAATCCTTGACTCTCAATTTAGTATGTGTTGCTTGTACTGAGGGCAGGCAGTCTCATCAGCAGGCAGGCCAGTTCACCAAACTAGGGTTTTGAAAAAAGGGACATCAGTTGTACTCAAAAAAAAAAACATTTTCTCAGACGCTTGTTGGATTCTAGATGTTGTTTTCCTTCCTGGAAGAACCTGGGACATGGTTTTCTTAAGGTTTTACATGAGATGTATGTCTACAAGGCATGCATTATACATGCCACATGCATTCTAGTCTACTTCTAGGTATCAGTTCCACTCTAACATGAGTCACATTGTAGTCCTTGGGAACTGTCTTGCTTTCTGATTTGTATTTCGTTACTTGGCTACTTAGAGTAGGCATTATTATTAAGTCCTTTCTCAGGCAAATTTGCTGTTCAGTTCAACAGGAGTTTTGGTTAGTCATGGGGAACAGGGCTTGGCTAAAAATAAGTTAAAAATCACAAACGCTTTTCATCATCTTTCAGTTTCTTGTCCAAAGTGATTACCTGGGTACTTTGGCTTAGATACAGGAAATCACTTGAACAGATGCTTTACTTTAAGCATTTGAGCTCGTCTCTGACTTTGGCTAAAGATGAGCATGTTCTTAATAGCTTTGCTGGCCCACTGTAGGAGTGGTTAGGAGGACATGATGAGAGTAAGCCCTAAAGCAGACAAACCATCAGAGACATGACAAGGAACAAAAGACTTTACACAAGTAGTCCATTCTTATGTAGTTTGCATGACAGGGAAGACTCATCCAAAATGGTTTTTCAAACATGCTTTGACACTTGGAAATGCCCAGCATGAAAGTAGCTTTGGCAGGATTTTTATTGCATATCTGTTTTTGCAAAGGCAAATCTGTATTTCTGTTTCTTATATGAGTTTTTATAATGCAAATATTTCTTGCATTTGAACATTTTCCTCTACTTAGAAGATTCTGGGCCAAATTAAGTGTTTCTGCAGTCCACAATTTTCAATTTAAAAACAAATTAGGCATATAGATGTGCATTTCTAGGCATTGTGGTGCTGCATTGATTATTGTAATGAAGTACTGCTAACCTGAGGGCAACTATAGCTTGTATAAAGGCTGCAGTTCAATTTGTGTAACAATAATAATGTAGTGTGGTGATTGAATTTTTGGTTCACGTAAAGGAGAATGACCGCTGATCCTTGATTCGGCTTGCCTCCTAAAATCAATAAGACAGAATAATACAGACCAAAAGTCTAGTTTAATTCCAGTCATACATATCTTTACTCCTTTTTTTCCCATAAAGTAGTAAAAACCTCTCAAAATATTTATGTGGTTCAGCTAACCATGAATGCAGCTGGCCTACTTGAGACTAGTCAGCTGCCTAGCTAAATCACCCCAGTAGCCAACACTGACCAGGAAAAGGTGTGGAAAGCATCAGTGATGTATTGGTTCATCCCACCACCCAGGTAACACCAAAACAGTCTTCTCCAACACTGACCAGGAAAAGGTGTGGAAAGCATCAGTGATGTATTGGTTCATCCCACCACCCAGGTAACACCAAAACAGTCTTCAAGGAAGTTGGCTTCATCAGCAGTAGCTGTATTTTTACGTAATGAGAGAAGCATAACAGAAGTTACGATACCACAAATTGAACTACAGCCTAAGCACAAGCTACAGTGCAATTTTAGGCGGAAGTTCAAAGAGTGTGTTGACATTTGAACTCATTGCTGTGGTCCAGAAGAGGTTTTAGTTACCAGGGGAAGGAAAAATGGTTGTTAAAATATGGATTCCTCTTTTTTCAGTACTCCCCAAGCATGACAATGAGTGTGTGATCCATTAACAAGTCTCACCGTGAAGACCACAGTGAGTTGGCCCTCTTCAGAGAGCTACTGCAGAAGAAAATTATTCATCCCAGTGTACAGCTTAACAAAAGAATCTCAGACACAATCAGACCCACCATTTTTTTTTCTACCATCTCCCCCGTTTTGTCAACAAAGTGGGTCCCAAACATGATTGAGACAACTGTAAAGAGTGGCGTAACAGAACTGCCCAAGATGGATCTGCAAACAGTTATCTGTGTATGTACGTGTGTGGGTTAATGTATATGTATGTGTGTGTGATAACAGAAATACACACATACATATATAGAACCGCAGGACATTGTAAAATATTATCACATGACATCTTAAGTAGAAATGAGAAGTAGGGACTTTTATTCCGTCTTTCTTTTTTTCCACGTTTACATTTTAATTATTAAAATTTGCTTTCCCTCTCCCCTCCTGAACTGTTTTATGTTGCATATATCACTGCTTTATAAGTTATTTTTTAAGGTGAGCCCAAATGATAAATTCTTCTGATTTTGTAAATGTCTGCCATTACGGATAGGAATAAAATTGCTTATAAGAGCTTTCATTAACTTGTGTTTGATACCAGTTACCCTGTGAATCACAAACTGTACTGTCTCAAGAAATAGAAGAAAGCTCATCTTAATTTTTTGGAGAAATTTAATAATTTTCACCTAATTTGGTGACTTTTTTTTTTATACTTTGCCTTTAAAAAAGAAGCACTGAAGGTTATTTTTCTTCTTTAATTGAAGCCTAATATCTGCAATATCTATTTTAAATGGAAGCCTGAATTTGAAACAAGCTTCTCAGTTTATATAGAGGACTATAAGGTTACTGTAAGTGAGCTCCAATTGCTACGGAATCTAGCAATAAGTGTCAGGGCTTCTTCTGCCCTTGGAAATGAGTTTTCTATTTAGCATGATCTTCCGTAGGGGTGGTAGTTAGTGAAAATACAGTAGAGTCCTTCTCACTGAAGCCTTTTCTAACAATTTACTATGATGTTTCACATTTCCAGTTACTCTGAACCGAATCGTAACAATCCATGGTCCTAATTATAAACAGTATTTCCCAAGCCCATTCCGAAAATAAGGTCATTGGGTGTGTATTTTTCACCACATATACCAGAATGAATTCCCTCAAAACTTTCCAGTAAGCAGCCCTTTATTTTTTTTTGAGCCAAAATGATGGAGTAAACTCTTCATGACTACTAGCCTTGTGAGGGTCTTACCTTTTGCCACAAACAGAAGAGGAACAAAGGTCCAGTCCATTTTATAAGGAGTCCAGCCTATTAGAAAAGCGAGGGACAGGTGGAGAAAAGGAAGATGGTCTTATAGGAAATGTTTCTGGAAGCACTCCCATGTCTCTTCAGGCAAAGCTCTAAAAGCAAGATTATGGTCCATTTAGTTCCTAATGATTGCCAGCTCTCCCAAGAAAAAAAAAGGTTTCAGTTGTGTAGTGATCAAAAGGTTGATGATCAGCAATGCAGGCACAAACTGGCTGAACAAAAATTCATGCCACAGACAAAAAGCAAAGTCCTCTCCTTGGACCTTGCATATAGAAGAGCCACTTACATAGGAGGAGCAGTTCTGAGATGCGGTATGTCCATGAAGTCTTGCAAGGGGATTTTTTTCATGAACTTACAAAGAAACATACGTAATGGGCTCATTGTGATGGTAGCTGCACATAACGGGATGTGTAAGGAATACTACAAATCTCCTAACTCATTTTTATTTACATATATTTTATATATATATAAAATATATGTAAATAAAAAGGTGTAACACTTTTTACTCTCTTATTAGGGCTATTCAAAGATTAAACTCTTGGAGGCTTAAAATTATGTTAAAATATCAAAGGTTTTGGTAGCATTACTTTTTAGTAATAATAACTACTTTCATTAGTTGTAAACATAAACTAGATAGTCATATGATTTTGTGGTCTGTATTTCCAGTGATAATGACGGTTACATTCATTTGCTTATCTTTCAAAAACACTTTGTTGATGTCTCAAAAGATGCTAGAAGACCCTACTATTGATTTGAGTTACAATACCACAAATCAGATCTAATTTCTTCAGACCCTTTGCTGTTGTCACTAATGCCGGTGGTTTCAGTGGCCATGTCTCCAGTGCACCCCAGCTTCTCCCATAAGCATAGCAGGGTGCGGGCGCCCATGCAGCCTGCATTTGACAGCTGTATTATCCTTGGTAGCCTTCTAAGAAGGACTTTAGGACTCTTGTCTGCCCAGTTTCAGTCAGATGATGTCACTGCTACTGGACTAAGATAGATGGATGTGTCTGAACTATGCTTCAAGTGCCAAAGCCCGTTCACGCACCAGGTAAGTGTGCCCTCAAGTGATCTCTTAAACTGTTGAGTGCACCTGGGGTCTGTTCTTAATCTCCAGGGGAACATCCTGTACTGTCCCATGCCAAGCTGGGGCTCCTGCAGGCAAGCAGTGTGTCCAGTGACCATGCAACAGCTGCCCTTGCTGGCATCACTGAGGGCTCTCTTACAAGACAGGGTATGTGCTGCTGCTGAAGCTTCATACTGTGGCAAAATTAAGCAGAATCAGGGCTTAGTATTACTCAGAGACTTGATTTCCTTTCTGAATTTGGCATTATCTGCAGTATTTTAGCTTCTGGGCACCTGTTAAGGATGAAAATCTGACCATTAAATTAAACCTGTGCAAAGAAACCCCTTAAATGGAGCTGCCAACGCATGTTGAATATCATTATCAAAATACGTTATCCTAATTTATATATGAGAGCATAGCATCCTTTCAGGCACATACTTTTTCTTCTGTAGTTCTTTCAAACTTCCTTCTATACGATTTTTCTTACTGCCAGCATGTTTTTATTTCCCCTTTCCGTTTCTTTTCCAAAACATTAATATCATTAAACATTTCTGCATTGATCCTGCAGCATTAATCTCGATAAATACATTACTGGCTTCAAAATTAACAGGATCAGGCCCTGCTTCTCATAGCCTGTCCTTCTGTGCCCTGATATTGCAAGTTACTAGGTATGTCTAGCACTTCTCTTACCTACGTAGCTCCACAGACTGGTGGAATAACAGATGCGCAAGCTTGCAAAATTTAGATTTGGAAGATCTGCTTGAATAGTCACTGCATATTTTATTAGAATTTTCATCAGATATAAGGAAACTTAATCATCTTGCTTTCTGTAGGGAATGCTTACATCCCTATCCTTACATACATGAGTAAAGTTACTTACACGTGCATTGGTAAGATTGGGGGATAATAACTATACATAGATTCTGCAGCTGAACCATTAGAAAACAATCTTATATGCTAAATACTTAACTTTAAAGTTATAAGTATCCCTTTGGATATTTTTTTTAAATAGGCATAGAGCTTTTTGCTTGTTCATTTGTGGTTTTTTTTTTCTTTTGCTTGTAAATCTTTGTAGAATTTTCATCATGGAGAATTAATGTGGAAAGAAAGACTGGTTCCAAGCACTGACTTTTTAATCCTGCTTGTGTTTCTAGTGCACTAGATACCAGTGTGTAATGTAACTGTTGTTTATATCTCTTCTTATGCAACAGCATTATTGATAATGTCAGAAGTTGTCCAGCTCTGAGACGAATTTTAAGTGGTGTAGGATTGTTTTTCCACGCTGGTTTTTAAATAGATTTCTCTTTTTAATATAGAAATAAATAGCTTATGAGTCTGTAAATGGGTCTTTCAGGCAAGGTTAATGTAAGGTTTTTTCGAAACAGAAGCGATGAAATCTTAAGAGTTATAGAAATAGGGAGTAATGGATCTCTCATACTGCGAGAACTCTGGCAAATATTCTGGCCTAGTAGAAATCAGCTGAAATTGGGATTCACTTGTGAATTTCACAGTGAAACCAGTATTTTACCTGCTGCATAAACCTATTGAAAGGAGTATTCATACCCAGATTTTATCTTCATGTCTAAGTCTTGTACAGGCAAGAACAGGGTTTAGGGCAAGGAAGAAGCTGTATGAATCATATGTAAAGCATGTGGCCTGATGTGTGCATTAAAAAAATACCTGGATATTGCATGTACAGGTTGCAATATGTTATTAATTGCCTGAGCATGAGGAAGAACTGCAGTTGCACTCCATGTTCCCCGCCTCCACTGTAGAGTGAGTTTGGTGCATGTGAAAAATGTGGGAATAACCTTGAGTCGAGTCTTTGACACACTGTATGCTGCCCAGTGACAGAAATGTGCCTCACCTTGGCTTGGAGGCATCTCGGAGTGACAGTCCCCAAATCAGAGGGTCGTCTGTCAGCCTGTGCCATTTTTTATTTGGAAGCCTCCTGGTTGCAGAGCCCAGACCACCAATGGGTCACGTATTCAGAGACGGTAACAACTTTCAGACTTACCAGCCTGCTCCCCTTAACAGAGGATTAAATGCCCCGTGTCCCAAGACATCCAGCTGTTGCTTTCCCTTGCAATGGGAATATGCAACAAGAAGTACATAGGCTAATTATTTATTTTAGATAATTCAAATTAGGACGAAGTGAATAGAATCTTGCTTCTTTATGGATAGCAATTCATGCATCAGAAGGACAGCTTCTTGAACTGGCTAAAAATCATTTGAATTTTCATCGAAAGAAATACTGAATGTAAAGATAATTTGGAATTAGATGGGTAATTTAATGACGGGCCAGCTGTTACAATATTCAGTGTTGAACATTTTAGTATTTTTTCCCCTTACCAGTCAAAATGAATTTTCAGCTGATACATCTTGCACTGATTTCTATTTCCCAGATCAGTTAATTGTTTTTCAGTGTCATCTCCTGTTACTAGTCAGCTGTGGTTCTTTGTTGATGTGGTGGTTGCTAAATGTGGACTGGAGATTTGACCCTACACGTTTGCATTTGAAAAATGTAAAATAGAGCTTTATGATGTTAAAAAAAAAAAAAAAAATCAGTACAGGTAAATTCATTTTTCTTTAATTCACTGTAAGTGATGATATAACCACGGCTCCTGTCCCAAACACGCTTTGGTTTGGTTGGGCCCTAAGAATGGGAATCCTGACAAAGCCCATCTTTCAAATAATACCAAAAAAAACTCAACAGTGACAGCTCATTTCTCTTCAAACTGATCACACTAAGAATCTAATTCAGGAGCTAGTGATACAAAAAACTATAAAAATTGAGTACACTCAGAGACAAATGAGTTAGATGTAAATTTTAGTCTGTGCAGCTTCCCCTACTTTCCAGACAGTATTGGCTTAGTCCCATAAGCTGCTGCTCATGCCAATTGTCCTCCTCGAACTTTGATGAAACCACTCATATAAGGTCAATTTTTTAGTAGGATTTCCCCCTGATCTGAGTGAAATATATAATTTATCTGAGGTGCGACATTATTTGGCAGATACATAAACCGAGTAAATAGAGCAAAATACAGAGGGTCTGATGAAATTACCAAAGTGATGTTTCAACCTGAAAAAACAGATAAAAGTCCTTCTCTAAAATACTGCTTTGAGTGCACGTATGCAAATTGTCTTCCAGTGCTGTTATCTTGGAACAAATTATAGTAACAAATTTAGAGAAAATAAATGGATCATCTATTCAGCACATTAAAACTCTGATCCTGCAAACACATTCAGATCTGAAATACAGCCTGAACATAGTTAATTTTAAACAGATTTAAGTATAAAGTAGTTCCTTTCAGGAAAGTGGGACTGCTAAGATGCTAAAACCATGCTTGAGTGCGGAGAGTCTAGAAA